AAGGAAGAAAGAAAGAAAGAAAGAAAGAAAGAAAGAAAGAAAGAAAGAAAGAAAGAAAGAAAGAAAGAAAGAAAGAAAGAAATCAACAAATCAGGCCTGGGGCTCAGAGTTCTCAGCTGGCAGCAATATCTGCATCGACACTTCAATTGAAGTTTTATTTTGCTATTTTTACTTTTAACTAGAAACTTCTATTTCTAGTAGGTTCTATTTCTAGGGGGGGGAAGGCTGTTTTTTTTCCATTTACTGTAGTATATCATTTCTTCTTAAAAAAATAAGTACACGGGGTGTTTCTGTGTGTGGGGGGGGCATTGGGGGGAGCTCTGAAAAAGGGCATATTGAATTTAAGAAAGTGAAATACAGCCATGACCAGCTAACCAGCAGCATGGGTAACCAGTGACAAGGACAATCACGGATGCTGGGAAGAGAGCACTGTGGACCATTTGAGCAGGCAACTCCATCCATCACCCCGAGCCCCCTGCTCTTGTCCTGCCTGCCTCCTGGTCCTCTCCAGGATGGATCCAATGGGCTTCCAGGATCCCTTCCCCTGTGGGTCTCTGGGAGGAGTGGGGATGTCGGGAAAGATAACCTAGTTTGGGGGACGCCATCCAGCCGTTCTCCCAGCTTTCAAGGCCTGAGAAATACAATTCCTCACAGCCTTTGCCTCCTCTCCCGACAGCTTTTCTCCTCAGACTTTAGCTGTCACAGGTCACGTCTTCCACCTCTTCTCATCATTCAGTCAATAACGATAGAATACAGCGTGTCCCGCGTTTAAATTTACAAGGCAGGGTCACATCTTTTTGTCCCCTTTCAGCTCTTCCACGTGACGCTCCTGGGAGTTATGCCATGTTTTGTGGGTGAGAAAACAGCCCGGAGGAGGGGAAAGGACTCTAGGTTCCCTGGGAAACCAGGTCTTAACTCAAAATCTGACGATGTTTCCTTCATTCACCACAGCTCCGTTTAAGTCCTTGGAAATCCCAATCCTATTACTTGTGCTATCTGAACTTGGTTTGCGGTATAAGCATGAATAGTTTAATTGTAACCTGACATTTAAATACGGTAGGGTAAAGGACTACCTCCATTGAGGTGGGGCTTCATCACCACACCAATGCTCTGCCCTGTGGTGGTCTGGGTCCCCATTCTCTAGCCAGTCCCACACCCCCTCCTTCCTAACCCTCTCCTCTTAGCACCAGCTGGGTCCCCAGCCTCCAGGACCACCTCTTAGGCTACACACTGCTCCTCAGACTGGCCCACTGTCTTTCCCTGAGTCCCAGGGCAAGCTTAGTCCACATGCTGTCTGGGTTCCTTCCCCATCACAGCCTAGCAGATTGGGATCCTGATATGATTCCATACTAGGGTAGGCTTTGAATCAAAAATCATTATTTTAGATGTTGGAAGGGGCATCCTGGAGCTCCTACAATGCTTGAATCCCAGCCTCAGCCCTGAGGTCCATATGAGAGAACGTGACTGTGGGGGAGAAGGTTGGAAGCAGGTGATCCCTGCTTTGGGGGTCTCACCTGGTTATCCTTCGAGCCTCCAGGTGGCTTGGGGAGTCTCTCCGGCGCTTCCTCATGGGTGAGTAGGACCTTCGCCGCCTGCGTGCACGCTCTCGGGGCTGCAATTCCTTCTCACCATACTTGGGGTCCCTGAAGGGGTGCAGAGGCAGGGTGGGGGGGTTGCTAGGTAACTAAGGCTGGGCTGGCTTTTCTGCTGGTATTTCTGTGTGAGACACTTTGCTGTCCCCGCCCCCCTACTGAGACTGGCCTTTGCCAGGGGCCCCAGAGAAGACAGGGAATATGATGCACTTTGGGAAGAATCTGATTAGGTGAGCACCGTGGGGCAAGCTGGCCATGAGCAAGAGTGGTTGGTAGCCTTTGTGTGTATGTGGTGTGGTGGTGGTGGTGTGTGTGTGTGTGTGTCCGTCCATGTCCCTTGGCAGGGAGGCACAAAGGTTGGTGGGTGAGGAGGGTGAGGTGGGTGAGGCCCTGGGGTGGGCAATAATTGGGGTTGTGAGTGCAGCGGCAAGAGAAAGCAACAATTGACCAAGGAGATGGGGCGCCCGGGTGCAAAAAGGACAGTAGGTCAAAGGGTGTATTGAGGCCTGGTTGCCACTCTTGATTGGACAAACAGGATTGCAAGAATTCCCATCCCTACCTCTCCAGGGCTAGGGATTGGGCAGGGCTTGGGAGATTGGCACAGAGAGGCACGGCCTGAATTCAGGATCTGAGGAAAGGGGTGTGGCCCATGAGGCAGGACCCACCCTGGGGGTGGGTTGGGAAGGACGATACCTGGTGGGGCTGTAGCGGGAATAGCTGGGACTACGACGAGACCTAGAGCTTCTGCTAGGCGGGCTCCTCTTGCCAGACTTGGAGGAATAGCTGGGAGAGCGAGAGTAGGACCTGGGGAAGAGGGAAGAGCCTCTGAAGACCTGTGTTAGGGTTGTGCGGACGACGGCTGAGGCTCCATGCACCTGGCCCCCAGACGGCGCTCTTTTTATTTGAGCAAGCCTGGCTTTTTACAGGACCCACAACCAGAGAATGAAATCCTCTCCTTTTCAAGTAATTAATATTAACACTGACAACTTTCTGTTATTTCCTGAATGCTTATTGTCCTGGCCACTTTTTATCTGTGTGGTCTTGGGCCCTTGATTCCACTACTCTAGGCTTCTATTTTCTCGTCTGCAGAATGGCAAAGGAGGACCAGCCCTACAAAGTTGGCTGTAAATCTAAATTAGAGTAAATCACTTAGCATATTGGTATATACACTAAGTGCCAATTAGCCAGTACACTGGAAACGTTAACTATGACTATTATACATTTGATTATGTGCCAGGCATTGAACTGAAAATGCATGTGTCTCACTTAATCCTCAACACATGCCAGGGTTAGGAACTGTTATTAATTTCATATTACAAATGGAGAAACAAAGACACAGAGAGGTGATATAATTTGACCAGGGTCACACAGCTAGTGGACATATGAATCCAAGAGAGTCTGGCTACAAAAAGTGTTTTTGACTTCTGCAGATTATAGCAGTCCCTCTCCACCCCCCACATGCTTACCCATGGTTTTGCTTTTCTATGGCTTCATGAATGGATTGAAAAAAAATTAAGAAGTGGAAAATTCTATAAACAAATAATTCATAAGTTTTACATTTCAAACCATTCTGAGTAGCACCTACTAGGAAGTGGGTTATTTCTTTGTCCAGGGTATCCATGATGTCTATGCTACTTGCCGGTTAGTAGGTAGCATTTGTGTGATCAGATCTACCATGGCAGGATTGTAGATCTACCATGGCAGGATTGTAGATCTACCATGGCAGGATTGTAGTGCTCATGTGCAAGCAATCTCTATTTATTTAAAAATGACCCACAAGTACGAGAGTAGTGACACTAGTAACTTACACATGTCAGAAAGGAGTAATGACATACTTCCACTAAGTGAGAGCATAAGCATTGTCCATCCAATAAGAAAGGAAGGAGGGAAGAAAAGAAAGAAAGAAAGAAAGAAAGAAAGAAAGAAAGAAAGAAAGAAAGAAAGAAAGAAAGACCAGGGGCCGAATGTACTAAGATATGTGGCAAGAACAGAGATCTCCAGGAAACAGGAGAAGCAGAGCTCTTGTTAATTTTGCTACGACACCTCACATTGAAAATACTTCCATCATAGTGTACGACAGGTGCTTAGTTACAAAGGGGGATGGGCCATGTCATGATAGGATTTTGGTACTTAGCCAAGAGTTTGGCTACAGGTATCCATTGGGGATCCTGGATCCTATCTCCTGTAGACAATAGGGGAAGGGCAACTCTTGGTGATGCATCTAAATTATGAGCCCTGTTGCCCACGCTTTCTCTCTCTCTCTTCTCTTCTCTTCTCTTCTCTTCTCTTCTCTTCTCTTCTCTCTCTCTCTCTCTCTCTCTCTCTCTCTCTCTCTCTCTCTCTCTCTCTCTCTCTTTATGGCACCTAGAGAACATGACGGGGGAAGGAAGAGCTCATTCCTATTGTAGTTGTGCCCCTGGGAAAGTGCCTGCCAGACTGTCCTTTGCATTTGCATTGAGAAATCTTATAGAAAAAAAAGGCAAGTGCTGGTTTTGAAATTACCAACCAAGGAAGCAACTGAATGTTGAATGTTGATTATATGGTTGTGGAAGAGGAACAACCAGCTTGCTGGTTTTTTTTTTTTCTTTTTTAAATTTTCGTTTGAAATCTCAAAGAAATTGAAATTAAAAAATTTTTGTTTGAAGAAGGAAGCTAGGCTCAAGGAGGCCCTGAGGGTTGGATTAGATGGGCTCTTCCGTTTCCTGAGATCTCCTGTCTGTATGTTCAAAGCCAGAGCTATTCCATACAAGGTAACCAAGCAATACCAATGGTTATTGAAACAGAATACAAAAACAGCTACAGTTCTTCTCTCTCTATCTTGCACAATCCCTGAAATGTTACTCTGTAACTCCTCTCATTAAGGGAGACTCTTCTGGATGGGTCTTGTGACTTATTATGGCCTAATAGAACAGCAGGAGGGATGGAATGATGCTTCAAGCTGAGAAGTAAGGAAGCCTTATATATTACTGTTCTCTCTCTCTCTCTCTCTCTCTCTCTCTCTCTCTCTCTCTCTCTCTCTCCTTGTCATTACCATGCGTACAAGCAGATAGGTCTGCTGGTGGATGAGAGACAACACAGAGCAGAGCAGAGACAACTAATCATTGGATGACTTTCAATTCCCAGCCCAGAGCCAACTCGCCATCCAGTCAAAAACACACGAGGGGGCTGAGGACAGAACCAGCCTGTTGAGCCCAGCACAAATCGCTAATCTACACAATTATGGGGATTAAGTGAATACATTTTATACGAAGGATGATGTTGGTTACTTTTTTATGCAGAAGTTAATTGACACTCGTCTCATCCTCACGCCAACAGAAACAGTAACAATGAATGCTCGTCATGTTTTAAGTGCTTTTGCTTCAGGCAGGAGCCATTGGCCACTGAGCCATGCATTCTTAATATTTTTGTTTTTCACACAACGAAATGGGAGCTCAGAGATGTTGATTGCCTTTCCCAAGGTTATCAGCAGCAATGGCTGGAGCAGATATCCAAAGTCAAGCTTGACTTGACAGTCAACTGCAGATCAAAAGTCAAAGACATACTCACCTCTTTTCGGAGGAAGTGGACCGGCTCCGGGTGTACCTAGGGGAGGCTCTGTGGTTTGGGGACCGGGAAGAGGGACTGGAGGATCGAGTGCTGGTGTAGGAGGAGCTACGGGAGCACTCTTTGATGGGGGAGCTCCGGGCTGTGGATGGGGCCAAACTTGACTTCTTCACCTCAGCACACTGTAGACATGGAGACTGAAATCCTCTGCAGGAGGGAGAAACATCTGTCATTATCCCGCTGCCCTTGCTCTGGGGGGCGGGGGGACACCTTGACCTGGTATTCCCTCTATCACCTTTGCCTAGGATAGAATACCTTCTTAACCACTGAGCCATCTCTCCAGCTCTAGGATAGAATATCCCCAGTTCCTCTTTCCACCTCCCCCCTTTCTGGGAAGAACTGCCAGGTGACCGAATTTAGAAAGGCCTCCCAAGTAGAATGATATTTAATCCAATTCAGGATCCCCCAGGTAGGAGGTACATACCACACCAGGGGGCCACTTGAGAGCATTCCAGGAGGCCCTTGTGGGCACAAGGCTAAACAACATCAAATCATGTGGTGAGAGATCCCTACCTCCCTCTTTCTTGTCCTTGCCGGGTCCTTCTGATTGCGTGAATGAGAAAGCCCTGGCTGGGTGCTCGTGGGTTTTTAACACCTCTCTAACACTTTGTAATCTCCCCAAGATAAAGGGACAGGCCTTGGGGTCAGAGCCTTGAGCAGGGAACTGTAACTGACCAGAGTTAGATACACTAGCTTCATCCGATTACCACAGGTGCTTTCTATTTATTATGTTTCAGAAAGGGATACACATTTCCATGCAGAAATAGTGATATGATCACAATAGACAACCCAGTGTGAATATAGCTTAAAAGAATCAAGAAGGTGACCCGTGCTTGGGCAACTTTGATGTAGCCCACTTTGCAGATGGAGAGATTGAGAGACTCCCAAAACCGGTGGATGGAGGTTTGTTCACAATCAGACAAAGGGTATGGGGAATCTTTGTTTTATAGTCTCTCTTGTCTAGGGCCATTCTGAACTCCTTCTGAGGTCCTCACGAAGACATGTTCATTTGATTAGGCCAAGAGTCAACTTCAAATCACATTAATATAGTTTGAAAACTACCATAAATCTTGAAAGATTCATGATGATCTTGGCTCTTGTTCCTAACAGGCTGTTCTCCCAAAACAAAATGTCCTATTCTGCCGGGCGGTGGTGGCGCACGCCTTTAGTCCCAGCACTCGGGAGGCAGAGGCAGGCGGATCTCTGTGAGTTCGAGGCCAGCCTGGTCTCCAAAGCGAGTTCCAGGAAAGGCGCAAAGCTACACAGAGAAACCCTGTCTCGAAAAACCAAAAAAAAAAAAAAAAAAAAAAAAATGTCCTATTCTGTCCTTTGTCTCCAGACCATAGAACATGTTGGCAACTTCCTCTACATGTGGCTCTGCCTTGACTTAACCCCATCTTCTTTGAAGAGCCTCTTAGGACAGTCTCTTTACTCCCATTCTGGGTTGACGGTCTCCTGTGTGTTACCATGGCCCCTTCTGCTTGGCCCTCCCCCCATGCCTACATGACTCATTTGGTCTTAGGATTCCATGTATCTTCTGCCCTGGATATTGAGCTGATGGGGTGTGTGTGCCCCCCTGGGCTTTATATCCTCCACACGTGTTTGTCATGTGTCATCTTAGCCATCCTGTCTGTGTCTTGGGCTCTTTCATTTGATTTTCTCAATAACATTGTGTATCTGGTCCTATGGTTATGACCAAACTAAGGAGGAGGCTCAGAAGGAGGAGTGACTTGCTCAAGGTCACTCAGAATTCCAAACTTGGGTCTGTCTAGCCGCACACACTCATCCCTGTCACCTCTCCAATTCCTTACCCTCTGCGTCTGGGGTGCCCTTGACTTTCAGCTCATATCTCTTCACTTATCCCATATTTATTGAGCCCTTTGTCCATAGCTGGCAGGACATAAATACTCATGATTTCACCATCATTTACATTCCAAAGTGAAAGGCTGGTTCTAAATTATTTAATTTGGCTGTCTATGTATATCAAATGAAGCAAGTAACAGCTATATATCTCTTGGACCTAGGGTCTAGTTTTAGAGACAGGTCTGAATTGAAATGCTGCTATTGCTGCTTCTTAAATGATTTTGTCTGAGTCTGTGCCTCAGTTTCCTATCAGTTTACAAAAAGGTTATAATAGTGCCTGTTGCAAAAAGACACCAATAGGAGCTAAGGAACGCTACTTGTGAGAAGCATTTTTCCCAGTGTCTATTATGTTATCTGGATCAATAGATACTAGTGGCTTTTTCATTAATTAATACTAATACTTTTTCATCATCATCATTATTATTGCTCTTTCTCTCTCTATTCTCCCAAATCACAGCACTTTAGTGTGTTAGTAGATACGTGGCTACCTTCTTCTCCCATGTGGGAACTTTGCTGTCTGCTCTTGGAGAAGCTGACATTTTCACTGACCCAACTCTGCCTCCCACCAAGCGTGGGCAGGAGCTGAGGACAGGGACGTCCCAGAGCGGGCAAACCAGAGGCGGGGCTACATGCAGACCCAAGCTGTTTGTCCAGCACTGAAGCCTGACTGGGTCTTATGTTAAAGATAAGGGGTGCTCTGTCCTTGAAGAAACTGTCACTGCTTCCATGCTTGAGTGGGGTGTGGCCATCATTTGGAAATCTTGGCCACGTGGAACAAAGGTGGACTTGAATCCCTGGCAGGAGGAAAGACCCAGTGTTTCTCTGGGTAGAGTGTGCGAGCCAACTTCCCCTACCCATACACCTAGTGAATTCTAAAGTCAGGAAAAAGAGCCCTATCATTTTCTCACTCCTAGCATCAAGCTGAATGCTGCCATGAGGGTGTGTCTGGTAAGAAGTTGAGAGATGTAACTGAATGGATGGTGCAGACTAAGTGGCCAGCAAATTTTAACAACTACTCTTTCGAGAGTACATCTAGCGGTCAGCATTATGACGCGATTTATGTTTTTTCAGATTCTTTTCATGTATATGTACGTGCATGTGTTCTGTGTGCATGTGTGTATGGATGTGGGTGTATGTTTTGGGGGGAAACAAGCTGATGCCAGAAAGCTACCTCCATCACTCGCCTCTTTCTTCTTTGAGGCAGGGTCTCTCAGTTAAATCCAGAGCTTACTGATAAGCCTAGTCTCACTAGCCCACTTGCTCTGGGGATCCCTTGTCTCTGCCTCCGGAGGGTAGAATTACAGGCAGGCCATCACGCCCACCTGACATTTACACTGCTTGCTTGCCAAGCATTTTAACCGCTGTCTCCCCAGCTGCTGTTTGCTGTGACTGCTTGAGTGACAGAGCAGTTGGTGATGAGATGATGGAATTGTCATTGGCTTGTAAACAAACGTGTGGCTGTATTTTCAGAAGGAAAAATGCATGCAGCCAGCGTAGCACCAAATGAAAGGACCCATACCTCAACTTTACAGTGGTAGTTGTGTGTTCTTCACGAAGAAGTTTTATTTTTAGAACATTTTTAATTTCAGGGCACAACTGAGCACAAAGCAAGGGCCTCCTGGCCTCCAGGACTTCATCTCTCACAAACAACGTCCCTCACCAAAGTGGTCCATGTGTTAGAACTGAGGAGCTAACACCTCATACCATCACCCAAAGCCCATAGTTTCTGTCAGGCTTACTCTTGGTGTTAATATATCCTATGACTTTTGATGAGTCACTGGACATTTACCCGTCATGAATGATGTATCATGTGTTATACTTTCATGTAGCTGGAACTGTGTGTGTCTTTTGTATAAATGGATAGCACGTTGTTATTATTATTATTATTGTTGTTGTTATATTCTAGAGTCTGGATATACCACAGTTTATTCACCTAAAAGACTTGGTTGCCTCCAAGTTCTAGAAAGTATGACTAAAGCTCCTATAACCATATGTAAACAGATTTTTTTGTGTGTGTGTGAATATGTTTTAAATTGATTTTGGTCAGTACTATGGTATGTTTTTCACTGACAGCGACTTAAATGAAGTTCATGTTGGACTTTCCCCGACACTCTCGGCAAACTGGCATCTATTTTTGTCTCCCTGCCGTCCATCCCTCCCTCCTGATATCAACACTCTGGCTTTTCCTGCAGAAACATCTGGCGCTAGCCTGTAACTCAGCACCTGCTGGGCCAGAGAGACTGGTTTGAGGGGACGCATGACCCAAGCTGGGCCAAGCAGAGCCAATAAGTACCTGTTTGGGTATTTTTGCTAAGATTTTTGTGGGGGCGGGGTGGAGGCATTCTTCTGCTGGCTGGTTGGAGACGCAGGTGCTGAGCCTATCTGCAAAGCTCTGGGCCGGTCTGCTTGAGAATGAAGCCAACAGAGCGTGGGAGCAGAGCTGAGAGGTAGAATTCAAAAGAGAAAGAGGCAGTAGCACCTTTTGAACCCCTGGGTCTGGCGGTACCTGAAGCTAGTGTCTGGCTATATATTTTTTAAATCAAGCTAATTTGAATAGATGGTCCTTTCTTTTTCTAATAAAGATGCCTAGGAAGGGCAGGGCACTGTGATGAGACTATAAGAAAATGACACTAGCCCAGCATTTGGGAGGCAGAGGAAGGCAGATCTCTGTGAGTTCGAGGCCAGCCTGGTCTACAGAGCAAGTTCCAGGACAGGCTCCAAAGCTACACAGAGGAACCCTGTCTCGGGGGGAAAAGAAAAAAAAAAGTCATGCTGAAGTGGGGATCCTCGTACCCTCAAATGTACTGACCTTGACTCACTGCTCCTGCAGGTAGGAGAGACGTTCTCCAAAACAGCCCCCTTGTTCTGCGGGGAGGAGGTGGTGAAGGAGTTCCCTGAATCGGAAGTATTGCCACAGTTGAGGTCCCGACTCTTGCTCAGACCCCCACCGGGGCTCCCCTTCTCCTGGCCCCGGGACCTGGCTGAGCTGGTTTGCGTGGAGGGCGGCGAGGACGTGTCATGGCCCGAGTCGTACTCCTGCGAGCGCCCTCGGGAGGAGGCGGTGAGCGGGCTGGCTGATTTGCTAAAGAGGTCAGCCGCAGACCCCGACCCAGAGATCTGAAAGCAAAAAGACCCGTCGGACACTGCTGAGCTCCGGGGCTGTGTGTTAAGTAACCAAGAATGTTAACCATCATGAGTCACTGTAACGAAAGCAAAGAGAGAAGGGGAGAGAAGAGACGCCCAAAAAACAAAAGCACAAATTCCTGAAAGAATTCCACAGAACTAGGAGACCTCTAGAGTATATATATAATATTTTTTTTTACCCCCTGCTAGAGTAACTGGAAGATTTTAGGAATCATGCAGGGAAAAGGCATGCGACTCAGATCAAACAAAAGTAAAGGGAAATGATACAAAATGTAATCTCTAAGAAACTCAAACAAAGGAGATAAATCAATAGAAGGGGGAGGGCTGTAGACACCCTTAACTTCAAACAATAATAAAAATAAAGGAATGGGGGAGGGGAATCAAAAAGAAAAAGGGGGCTACAGGCCTCAAAAATTAGATCTTGGAAATTAAAAACACAAAAGGAGATAAAGGCAAATTTTAAATTTCAACCCAAATCCTCAACTAACTCTTTTTTTTTTTTTTTTTTTTTTAAAGAAAAAGTTGCCTGAATAAAACCCTGAACAAATGTCACGTGGGTCAAAGAAACAAGGATGAGAATTGGTTTCTTTCTTTTCTTTTTTCTTTCTTAAAAAAAAAAAAGTCAAGGTCGCAAACGGACGTTTGAGCAGTTTCTAACTAAAGGAGTCAAGAGAGGGGGCCGGGGGCAGGGCGGGGAGGGGGGGACAAAATAAATGTAAAGTCAAATAGTCTGGCTGAAAACAAAACCAAAAAAACCAAACATAAAACAAAACGAGTCTCTACAGGCATTTGTGCGCGTCCTTCTCTCTCGGAGGAGGTAGCTAAGCACTCTGAGTGGCTTCTAACAAAGTCTCTGGTGTCTTTGCGGATTACGTCACTTACCAAGCAAGGACTCCTCCTTTAGTAGGAAAGGTGTAAGAGAAAGGGAAGAGCGGGCAAGGTAAGTCCATCATCAGAGTCGTAAATGACAAGAAAAAACACACACCTTCCTACACAACCTTAACCTTCGCCCTGAACCTTGTTGGCTCTGGGGCGCTGGGTGCTTTTGAGCGAGCGGATCTCTCACTCAGGGAGACCTAACTTCATCCACCTGGCCGGTAGCTTCCTGCCCAGGTTGGTTCGCAGAAACCTTCACTGCCTTGGTACCTGGAGCTATGGAAGGAACTGTAAAGGCCCAGTCCTCCGTGTACTTCCAGGGGACACTGGGGAGGGAGCGTGCGATTGCAACTGGGAGATTTAGAAGGACCTTGGACATTAAGTCCTGAAGAGATGCCTCAGTTTGGGGACTGGCCTAGGAAGACTGAGGGATTTGGGGGGCTGTGGAGAGTTATCACTTGGGAAGGGAATTCTATGCTGAGAATGTTTTTCTTCAACATTCAGGTCAGGCTGTGGCTGAGAAATCACAGTGATTTTTTTTTTCCAGCTGCTGTACCATGTTTAGCTGTGGGCAAGAGAGATCTTTGCCCTGGACTTTTTCTAGCAATACATCTCTATGGGGAGGAGAAATTTGTGTGATGAAGAGGTCACTCCCTGGAAACCACACCTCTAGACCACTCACTCTGGGGTGCTTGGGTTCCCAGAATTCTCTATTTAAATGGTTCCTGAGTCTCCTTCTGAAGATCTGTTGTTCCATAAGCAAACTATGTCTCAAGTAGGCCATCTGGGCAGAAACTGCATGATCATGTTGAGGTGTCCAAGTGACTGTGTATGGGTCCCCTGACACTGTTTACGGGTGACACAGAGGAGGGAAGCCTGAGACCTTGGAGCAGATTCTCGCTCACTGCCATGCTGTGTTCTAGTGCTGGGAAGGGCCTGGGACTCTGAATTCAAAGGTGACTGTCATATCACCTCGAAGACATGTTTACTTCAGCCTCTCAAGAGGGGACATACTTTATTGGTTTTTTTTTTTTTTTAACTATATTTATGAGTAGCTATCTTGGCTAAGTCTGGCCCTGGGCCTTACACATACTAGAAAAGGCTTTCTCATTAAAAATAAAAATAAAATCGACTTTTCCCCAACTTTACCCCCTGCTTTGTAGATTTGCTAGAGAGGGGGCACCTGAGCTCTTTAAAAGAGACCCTTCTGCCTTGAGGGAGAGATGTGGACACCTGGAACTGAGAGTCACAGAGAGATCCCTGACAGCTTGGAATGCCACATCCTGGGACTAAGAGGCGGGGATTTCTTTCTGGTTTCTCCCAGGAGGCTTTGCACATGGGCAAGCTAACGGTCTAGCCTTAGCAAATCCTGTCTAGTGCAGCTTCTGCCTTGAACGCATCATGATTACCTGGCTACCTTTGCCTTGAAGGTGGCACCTCAAAATAAGGTGGCCAGGTCGAATTTTCTAGAGACCCCTTTTCGTATAATATACAGAATCTGTTCTCATTCAGCTCCTTCTAAATTGGACGACATTCATCTCCCACCTCTGATGTCCAATGGTCCCACCAACATCTCCTTTACCATCTCTGTCAGAAGTGAGAAACCACCATGATGGGAAAGCTAGCTCTGAGCTTTCAGACTAGGGTTTAGTCCAGGGAAAGGATCAAGGGATTGTTGACCGGGAGTGAATGGTGGGGTGGCCAGTATGTCAGAAAGTAAGCCCATCTTAGAGGGAACAGGCTGGCAGAGTTTAATGTGATATCTTGTAGCTTGCTCCCTGGGGCATCTAGACTGGGTTTTTCTCCTTCCAAGTACTTGCTCCTGGTATTGACTACAAACTTAAAAACATTTGTTTTCCTGATATGTGATGGATCCGCATGAGCCAAGACTTCAAGTATGATGTTTCTAGGATGGTACATATAGAAGGGGGACCGTGCCTTCTTCTGTACACACTCTGCCCCACAATCTGAGCCCACTGGGATGTTGTCAGTGTCTCCACCTGGCTATAACTTACATAAACTATAATGGCTTGTGTGTCTGACCCAACAGCACTGCATTGGATGATGCTTTTCACCCCCAGAAAATAGAGATAAAGTCCTGCTGGGAAGCTCTCACTGGGCGAGAGTGCCAGGGCACACAAACCTACCGGCCTCTCCTCCTTGTTTAAAAATCCCACTCCTTTGGTCAGTCTCAGCTCACTGACACAAATTACGGTGTGCTTTACAAACCTGCCCCACCTACTTCCTAAACCAACCCCAAGACCCTCACACACTCCTCTTCCATGCTTTCCCAAGTTGTCTTCCACGGTCCAGGTTGACCAGCACGTGTTCTTGGTTTTGCTAAGACACACCACACTCCCATCTCCAGGTCATTTACACATCCTGTTTCCTCTGCAAAATAATACTCTTCCTTTCTCCCTCACCTATCACCTTCTCTGATCACCCAGACAACACTCTGTAATTAATGAATTCCATCTTTCAGCCAACTACTCACTCCAGATTAAACGCCTTGTTACTCAGTAGGAGTGGTAACTTATTTGTCTCTTCACCCACTTGTTGAGGGCTGGGGCCATGGCTGATGCAGTGTTATACACCAGGACCTTCTACCTGCCTCAGGGTAGATGCTCAGCAACAATGGTCGTTTAATAACCCAAGCTCCTCCATGGTCCCTTGACAGCTGCAGGGACTCAGTCTTTGACCAGGCAGTGGTGGAGTCTGCTCAGATGGTGGCCAGCTTTAGAGAAAAAAAAAACTTCTCTCTCTCTCTCTCTCTCTCTCTCTCTCTCTCAAGAAAGGACTTATTTAGATCATAATAAAAACAGCTCCATAAAAGTTCCAAGGTCTTGAAGCCAACTTAAGGCCAAGGATTAAAGTCTGGACTATGGCAGGAAGAGGGGATCCCCCTTGGTTTCTCTCCTTCTGAGACCCCTGACCAAGGGCAGCAGGAGAAGCCCCCAGTGGCTCTGCCTGCACATTCCCACCAGATGTGCTCCTGATCTCAGGCAAGGATTTTGAGACCCACAGAGCCTTCTGAATGAGGCAAGTTGTGACGGGCGACCTGGCTTTCTTTTGGTTACTCTGCCACTTTAAAAGGTCAGGTTGAAAAAGGAACCTGAGCCTGGCAATTTGTATATGGAGGGCTGTTAGCTTCAATTCTGGGGAAGTCCCTCAGGCTAAGGACTTTCTTTTTAAAGTCATCTCGTAGAGCCAGACAAATCAGAAACGTCTACGCCAGTCTATGGAGCAGCTCAGTAGACATCAGTATTGAGGGCTTGGTCAGGGGAGGCTCAGTGGGGTTTCACCTCTCTCTTGCTTCCTATGACGTGGCCAGCATCACCTAATGCCCCTATTTAGCACAAGCCCCAATTCATTTGCCCCATTTAAAGGGTATTGTGGCAGAGAGAAAGGAGTCATCTGGGATGTTTCAACTCGTTGTTCCTATGAACACTGTTCTTTTTTGCACTTAGAAGTCTTGATGGACTCTGTTTACATTGGTGGGAGGAATAGTTTGCTAAACCTGTCATTGGAGGTATGTGTCTTTTGATAGCTTCCTAGCCTCAGACTCCGCCTTCTTCAGAGGTTCAGTTCACTATAGAAGAAGAGGGGGCGGGGTGAAGCCACAGTGGAGCAGCCAGAGGCAGAACAGGTCCTGGGGGATCGTGCAGGTGGAATCAGAAGACTGAACGCTGTGACAGATGACAGTGGATGCATCTGTCTTCTTGCGTCTGTTTTCTCATCTTGGAACATCGCTTTCATAACAGATATTCCCCCATAGCACACAAGACACAAGCCGTCCCGGCTCAACATCATCATGATTGGACGGCTCCCATTTGTTTCTTATTGACACAATAAGGGTTGAGCTAAGAGCCCTCTCAAAATCCGTCCTTGAAGAAAGAGCTCTTCATCTGGTAGGGATATCTATGTGTGCAGTGACTCTCAGATCTTGTATAACTGGCTGTACAATGGCCTCCAAGTCCCCCGAAAGCAGAAGTTATCACAGACCCATCACCATCCAGTAATAATAGCTCCATGATGCCCAAGATCCCCAGAATCCTCATACTAGGGTTCTCCTCTTTGGTTGGCTATCACTTCTTCCT